ATTGAGTTAAACACCAAATGAAAAATTAAATGATCTTTCTATGAATTTCAGAATAAACTTGGAATTCTGCTCTGAATTATTATAGATTTCTTTTAAAATTAACCAGAAAACACTCTGCGTAGTAATTACCATTGAATTCTTTTTGGAATTTCCTTGAAACCCCTTCTAAGAAATTGTTTGGAATCCGTCTTAGAATTCACTTAAACATATTCGGAGATTTTGATTTCATTGAAATCCTTTTCAAAATTTTGTTTTAACTCTAGCATAAATCTTTCGAAATTTTAAATCATTTAGAAACCTCTTGGAGTATTTTAAAGAATGTTTTTCTAATTATTAGCAATTTTATTGCAATAAATTTTGTTGGAGCTCTTTGATGAATCATTCACACTAGGGTTGAAAATATCGCCAGAACACTCTTAGAACTCTGTTTCTAGTTGAATTCTCATCTTAATTCTCTAAGGATTCTTCAAAAAACACCTAATAATTTAATTTAGAACTTGCAATCTTCCCCACAGAAATTCATCTAACAATTTCTAAGGACTTCATGTCAGAATAATTCTGGAATTCTGCTCTGAATTTCTCCTTCGAAAACTATATGGGATTCTCCTCAGTAGTTTTTTTTTTCAAATCAACACTTTAAATACTTTTAAATTTTACTGAAAATTCCAGGGTTTGTCCGCAAAATTCTATCGATTGTTCTGCAATCTGTTTTAACTCTTAAAATACTTCCAAGTCTCAGAACCTTGACAATTATAACTGCACGACTATTTAATAAATATGATATATTTTTTTCAAATCTGTGATCTTGGAAAAAATTTAAACTCTCACATTTTAACTATTTTTTCTCTAAATCTTGCATCACAAAGATTAATCCCAAATTTTGAAGAAAAGTTCTATTTTCAGACCCTAAACAAATTTCAAAGCCCCAGAATCTTGGGAATCTATCTTTTTGGTAAATAATCTTTCAGTGAATACACATCTTCTCTATCCGATATCACTATCAATTTGCTCTAATTCTCATTTGTACCAAGTTCATTTTTCTGAAACATTTTTTAAATTTAATCTCTTATTCTTCACAATTCACCTATTATATAACCTATTCATCCAGATAGCATTTGGCCCAGTGACCTTAATCTCTGTCACTCAATAAATTCTAGGGCTTTGAAATCATAAGATGTGTCGATCATTAAAAGTGGTAGAATTCGATTTATCAAAGTATCTCGAAAGATCAATAAATCGTTTTGAATACATTAAGTGACTCATAGAGTTGAATATTTCCTATAGCTTTAGAAAGCACTTTCTGTAATTTGGCTTTCATTTTTCCCACAAATAACCACTGAAAATTTACAGTTGGCCACGTTTTAAAAAATGCGTACGATTTCGTTTTTTGTTGAATATCAACAACCGGGAAATTTTTAAGATTTGAATCGGGAAAACCGGGAAAAACCGGGAATTTCAAAATGAAAAGTCACTGGTCACCCTGTATAAAGGAAGGGTCAACTAGTTTCGTAGATATGGACGGAACATGTTATGGTAAATATGGGTGTCGATATATCAAATCACATAAATCGCAAACAAGATATTTTTAACGAGTGAGAAAACCTGTTTCAATGTCACAAAATGTACCTAGAAAATATATTATTATTTCCCGTGAAATAGAAAACGGTTGTTTTATAATAATATCAGAGGTATTAACCCATGATACAATAGCAGTTCAATTGTTCAACTCAAAACTGATAGAATTCTTGAAACTATCGATAGATTTCTCCAAAATTACATTTATGTCAGATGGAGCAGCTGCTCATTATAAGAACAGTGGCGTCTATGTAACTTCAAATCAATGCACAAATTGGAAGCAGATTGGCATTTCTTTGCAACATCTCATGGCAACGGTCCCTGTGATGCTATTGGTGGAACTTTAAAACAAATGGCAAAAAAGCAAGCCTTGCCCAAGAATACGGAAATACTATTACAACCCCGACTTGGCAGTTAAACAAACAGAAAAAAATATCGGAAGAACTAGAAGATTTGTTTCACCACGCAAAGACGATATCTGGTATTCAAAAATTTCACAGTTTTTAACCTATTGCCGATAATCAAATTGCAGCTAAAAAATATTCTTATTCAACGGAGCATCCAAAAAAATTGACTTTGTTTGACAATGTTAAGAAATAATATATATATATAAGTTATTTTCTAAATAAGATAAAATAGAAATTTATGAAATAAGAACACCATTTTTTCATACTCTGCCAATTAAACATAACATTAAAATTAAATTTTCTATATCATTCACAATAGGATTGAATACGTCTTCAATATCTTTTTTGGTGTACCTTTCATTTGGAGCTTGTTGAGTGAAATCTGGTTGAGTTCCACTCTTTTTTAATGTTGGTCTACCGTTAAAAAAATAAAAATAAGTATGCAAAGTAGCTTAAGTAGACGAAATCTACACGCCCACAAAGTTTCATTTAAATCTGAGAGGGTGCTGCCAATTTCTTTGTCGAGTTAGCGTGAAATTCGTGAATAGGACTAGTAAGACCCAAAGTGCTACTGGAATTCTGGTTTACTCCTCAGCATTATTCCTGAAAGTAGTCTGACTGAGAATTTCCAAAAAAAATCGTGAGTGTCGCTAGTATTCAATCTACGAAGTATATCATAACAACGCTAACGCTAACTTAAGTGAAAAATTTGTGTTGCTTCACAGTACGGTCCAAGGTTGCGGCCAATACATGGCATTCACCCCGACGGCCAATTTGATGTGAAAACTTTTAATTTAACGAAGTTCAAAAGTTCCGTGCGAAGGGCACGGAAATCGGTAGTGGTTACCACAATAGGGGGGACCTTTTCCTTCTTGGCATTAAGCCGAGAATGTTTAATGGAGTTTTGCCTGGATGATGAATCATTCTCATCATCCTTAAGTATATCAAATTGATTGCTCAAATAAATGTCATCGGAAGGGGGACCAAGAGATTGCCCTTTTCTTTTGCGTTTAGGCGCCATGGCGATAATAAACCGTTTTTCCAAATCGACTTCCGAGCAGGAATCTGAAGGATCGAAGAAAAGTTTTCCAAATCGATGTCTAAGTAGGATTACCTCGGGAGGGTTCAAACAAGGTCGAAGAGGAGTAAAAGTCGAAAAAGGTAGACAATGTTCAGGTAATATTGAGCACTGAAAAGTGCTGTTTAAATTCGTTGTAGCTTAACGTAGCATTAACACTTCCTTCAGTAAAAAGCAAATAGATCCGCACGACAAGAGAGCACAAATGGCCGGCGCCGGTGTTGTAGTGGTAAGCGTGACTGCTTTCTAACACCCCGATGGGTCTGAGTTCAATCCCAGCCGAAGTCGGTGGGATTTTTCTGAGGAATAAAAATCTCTGGTCACGTCTTCCTTCGGAAGGGAAGTAAAGCCGTTGGTCCCGGCCCATGTGTGTTGAATGGGTGCGATATCCTACGCAGGTGTGGAAGCTGCCTTTCTGCACATTCGATTCCCGTCAATGTATGGCAATCGATGTCCGTCGGTGATCGGCACTAGATTGCGTAACAGAGACCGACGTCAAATAAAGGAAAGAAGAAGAAGAAGAAGACGACACCGGTACACAGTGGGCCGAAATCAAAAGGAAAATTAGTGATAATTAGCGATCAGTTTTCTCGAAGGTGCACATTTTTGAAGTCCAGCAGTTATTGGAAAGTAGGTGAAAGGTCTCCCTTCTCCATCCCAAGGCCATCGGCGCAGTGTATTGTTCTGTGCGTCAATTGTTCATTTCGCGGCGCCATCAGAGGAAATTTTGAAGGCGAGCCATTGTACGACGACCGAAGTAGTGTGCATGATTTGTATGAGTTGGCTTGTTGCATGTCGCTACCAAGTGGCTTATTGAAAATGAATGATTGAATGTGCATGCGTTTCTCATTATTTCTGATGCGTAGCATAAAGTGGTGTCCTCTCGCAATTAGATTGTTCTGTCTCGGAAGTCTGCTGGATTTATCGGCTTGTTTGTCCTTTGGGGTTGCTACCCTTTTGCTGCTGTCTTGTCGTCTGAGAGGTCCTGTCTCTTGAGGTCGCGTGCGTGCTGTGCAGTGATTGAATTATATCTGATTAATTACATCGCCGTAGTTAATCGCAGTGCAGGGATTCTATGTCGTGAAATATTCCTAAGATGGCATACTTACGATCACTGGGCAAGAGTGAACTTAGGATACTCAACACAATGGACGGTATTGAACGACTTGTGACTAATTATGAGCCCACCAGAGACGGATCGGCTGCAAATGCTGGAGGCAGTTTGCAAAGACTTCTACGCTATTCGAGAACAAACTGAGTTGCTGATGGATGAAGATGATGACGATGAATCTGATACCAAGGAAGTTGATGGTAAGCGCGAGGAAGAGAATCGTCTTGCTTTAAGCAGCTTCGAGGATCGCTACTGCGTCGTGAAGGCCTGCTTGATTGCAAAACAAAACGTCTGCTGGAAACGGCCAATCCGAATCGTCGTTTTCGAAGGTGAATCTGCCAAAGATTCACCTTTCCTCATTCAGTGTAGAATTAAAGACTGGGTGACGTTTCGTGACAATTTTCGAAGCCAGATACACAACAACAAACAGCTAACGGACATGCACAGGTTCAGCTACATGACGTCGGCACTATCGGTAGAGGCTTTTCTGGAGATCGATTCCGTAAAACTACCGTCAGCGAACTACAGTGTAGCGTGGAAGGCTCTTGTGGACTCACTTTTCGCCGCAAGAGAGCTACGATAGATTGAGTAATCTGATCAGTACATCCGAAAAGAATCTTCAAATGCTTCACCAGATCGGTGAGGATACAGCTGAGTGGAGTACCATTCTAGCGTACATGGTGTATGCCCGGTTAGATTCAGCCACGCTACGGCACTGGGAACCTCACCACAATTCGAAGGATGTGCCAGATTACAAGAACCTGATGACCTACGAAGCCATTGTTCCGTGCTGCAATCCACTTCGACCAACGATTTTCGAAACCATCTATCATACCGCCGTGATGTCGTACGGCAAGTGCCCATGCTGCAATGGTCGATGGCATTCTGCATTTATGTGTGGCAAATTTCAACGACTGCAAGTTTCAGAACGTGAGAAAGTTGTGTTCAAAGCGAGATTGTGTTGGAATTGCCTAAATCCTGGTCACGTGGCTCAAAACTGCGAAAAGGGCACACTCCCAGATAGATCCTCCATTCCACAATCGCTGTAAAATTTTCCGACACGAATTCAACAACAGCCTCAATGCATGTCATCGAACCCGAACCAACAGACCCACAATACCAACACTGCTACAAACAGCAGCGCGGTGTAGTGGTAAGCGTGCTCTCTGATCACGCCTTCCTTCGGAAGGGAAGTAAAGCCGTTGGTCCCCGCTTCATGAGTTGATGGGTCGATAGGTAGGGTCCAAGTGTGGGAGCTGCCTCCCTGGCGTCGGTAGTATTGGGCCTCAGTACGAAAAACAAGAGCGACGGAAAACAAATCTAGGAAAACAAAAACACTGCTACAGCTACCAACTCGCAAGGACAGAGCACACAGTCAGCAACAGCCACTACAAGTCACACACACGTTGCACTCCCATCCACACCAACACAGAACATCTTACTGTCAACCGCCATGGTCAATATCACGGACCGTTTCCGAAAGTCCATACTAGCTTGAGCACATTGTCTGATGACGAAGGAGTTTTCGAGCAGGCTGAAGTTCCACTAATCTCCACCGTATTTATTTGTTCATGGGATAAGGGTCATCTACGAGAACGTCAACCAAACTGGTCAGTGCTGTAGTCAGTCCGAGATTGCCAAGAGATGAAGTTCCATGTCCTCCCTTGTTTGACCGTCAAACTGCCAACTTCAACCTGCAAGCTCAGTGGTTGTCACTTCTAGCTGATCCTCACTTCTACGAACCCTGTCCTATAGACATCATCATTGGAGCTGAACTCTACATGGACTTGCTCAAGAGTCAGATCCAGGGAAACATTGTAGATTGTTTTGTTTATTTGGTTCTACATCAACAGACTGGGTTTAGTCCTAATGATGGATTAAGCAATACTAGGAAATACAATATAGTCAAGAAGTAAAAAGCTGCAAAGGCCGTGAAGTCCAACTTAATTCCTAATTCTTAAAAATATATCACGGAATCTCTGACGCAGCGTCTCGCGTGCCAAGTGAAAATCCATTAAGGAAGCAACACCTAGCTTGGAAGGCGATGAGGATCCCTCCAAGGCAATCGTCCAAGGGCAAACCAGATGAATCGTCGTTGAATAGACTCTACTCTTTGTACACTGTTTTGTTAATTGGGATTCCATACAGGGCAGCAGTATTCTAACACCGACCGGACGAGGGAGCAGTTAAGCGACTTCAAACAGTAGATGCCCGTGACACTTTTAGCTATCCTGAAAATGAAGCCGAGCGTTCTTGGATGCCTTGTCGATCATATGCTGGCTGTATGTGAGTTGACAATCGAACATGACTCCCAGATCCTTTATGTGATTCACACGATGTACGTCAACGCCTTCTAGGATATAACTGAATGTAATTGGATGTAACTTCCGTGAGAACGTGATTACTGAACATTTTGTTGGATTTACAACCATGCGGTTCAGTTGGCACCAATTAGCAAAAGCGTTGAGTCGGATTCGGAGATAGATTTTCATGTCGTCTGCGAACGACAGTCGTGAACCGTCGAGGACGAAATAGACGTCGTTGAAATGCACAAGAAATATCAACGGGCCGAGGTGGCTACCTTGCGGAATACCCGAAGTGGCAGGGAACGAAGGAGATCGGCAGTCGTCGATTGCAACTTCAATCAGATAGATAGGATGCGAACCATCGTAGGAGACTGCCTATCCAGTTCGGCGATCGCTACAGGATGGTTCAACGTGTCAAAGGCGGCTGATAGGTCAGTGTTTTTTTTTTTTTTTTTTTTTATACAAGGGGTAATCTGCTCCCAGACACCTGAGAAGATAACTCAGGGTGTGGGGATGGGAGAAGTAGCGCTCCCGACCCACTAAACCTTACCCTGTGCTCTTGGCCCTTGCCCTCCCCGGAACCGCCCGAAAGCATTACATCATGGGAGGGGGCGCTATGGCGCATCACACTAACACTAGTGGTGTGTCACAGACGTGACACTCGCTACTGCACAGTGAGCAGCTGTGCAGGGCCTTCCTCTTATCGTTCGCTGTTAATTGTTCGCCTGAGTTCTAGAGCAGACGTGAAAGCCAGCCAACTGTCCACGGCAGGACAGGACAGATGTGACCGCTTACCAGCTGCGTGTGCTGCGACTTGGTCAGAGTCGTCTACACTCTAAGAACCCGGTGTCACTCCTGCCTTTGCACAACGAGGGTTTCTGCAGGGCTTATCGACCTCCTGGGACGAGCTGGATGGGGCTCCAGCGTCCTTACTCTGTTGTAGTTCGTTTAGCCGCAATATCTCTCCCTTGGGTTCGATAATTAACGTTTCCAGGGCACACCACGAGGATGCGAACTACTTCATGCTTCAGATGACATCTGTTTGCATATGGTCTGTTATACTCTCCGTAATGTACGAGGTGAGACACAGAAGGTTGGAAGTACTCGACCGCCCTGCCATGAAACCATGCTGGTCTTCGCTCAAGTGCTGCTTGAAGTGAGAAACTAATGGTTCCATAACGACCAACTCGAACAGTTTAGATATGGCACACAACGATGTGATGCCGCGATAGTTGTCGATGTTTCTTTTGCATCCCTTCTTATGCACTGGAAACATATCAGCTGATTTCCAGCAGGAAGGAAACACCCCACTACTGGAGAGGGACATTTCGAACAGAAGGCAGAGAGGAGCCACCAGGCTATCGATGTGTTGCTTGAGAAAGACGGAAGGAACTCCGTCAGGTCCAGGCTTAAATGAAGACTTCAGTTGCGAAGCCGCCCTAGATATCATAGCGGGGTCGATGTTGATAGCTGCCCAAGATTGACCAGACATTGGAACATTACTGGGTTCTCATCCGAGAATACACTCGCAAACTTGGTTAAGAACAGACGGCAAATGTCCTGAGGGGATGAAGATTCTTCGCCGTTCAGTACCATCGTCGATGGAAGACCAGACTCCTTTCGTTGCTCATTTACATAATTCCAAAAAGTTTTCGTGTGAAATCGAAGCTTCCGTTGAACATCTCGTTGATAAGGCCGATAACATTGGCGACTGGTTCGTTGATACGCATGATTAATCCTCGCATAATGGTCCTTGAGTTGTAGGGTGTGGTACTTGGTGTATTTTCTAAGCGTGGCTCTTTTGGAAGACTTTAACATACGGAGTTCGCTTGTTTGCCAAGGATGATGATTACCTTGTTTAGGAACTTTGAACAGCTGCATTGACATCGGCAGGGACGAGTATCCTGTGCCAGTCCAAATTCGAAAGAAGTTCCCCGATACTGTCGTGGTCAGCATTTCGGAAATCGAAGGAGACCTCTAAGGGGGAGGGGTGTAATGACCTCAGGAATTTGGTTGCCTTCAAGTGCAATAACTAAAGTAGGATGGTGTTGAACAGTCTTTATCAACGGATAAACAGCCATAGACAAATGCGGAGCAGTATCCTGAGCGGTGACGAAGCAAAGGTCTAAGCTACGATTGTTCTCATTAACCACGTGGTTGATTTCCTTCAGAGTGGCGATAATGTAATGATCCGAAAGGCTTACAGCTCCAGAGTGAAATGTAGAACGGTCGTGGTCCGGATACAGGAATCCACCGTAAGATGATCGCCAAGAAATTGCCGGTAGATTGTAGTCGCCAATGATTATCATCTCGTCAGCAGCTGTAGCGATCTTGTAATTTTAAGGAAGTTTGATGAAGTGATGAAGTAATTTTAAGAAAGTTTTATCATGGACGACAATTTTCTATCTCTCAAGTGGACGAAGTTATAGGGTGAAAATGGAGTACTAACGGTAGTAGTCCCTTAAAACCTTTTGTTTTTAATATAACTTTTTTGTTTGAATTTTCCAATTTTTTTCAATATTCTACAAAGTTGTAAGTGCTCTAAAAATGCACATTTTTCCTGAAGGAATTACATCACTGTATCTTCGTTTTAAGGATTTACGTCCATTTTTATAATTTGTAAACGTCTCGAATATTGTCGTGTATGCAATCGACCAGTTTGTACCCATGACAACTCCACCCATATCTAGTAACCCTCCTTTGACCGACCACCGACTTAAGCGACTGAAGTCATCCAAACAAGCTGCCTTGAAGACAGTTTGTAAACATCGAACGGATGCATCGAAGAGGATGTACAACCTCGTTAATAAACAGTACAAGCGGCTCAACAAACAGCTTTATCAAGCTCATCGGCACCATCTACAAACTAAACTCAAAGCAAATCCCAAGAGCTTCTGGAATCATGTGAACGATCAACGGAAGGAATCGGGCTTACCTTCTACAATGTACAATACGGATCAAGAAGAATCAGATACGGAGGGAATCGCTGACCTGTTCATGACACAATTCAGCAGTGTCTTCGTCAAAGAAAATTTACCTAACGAGCACATCGTAGCCACCGTAAGTGATGTTCCCGTACTTTCTGCTGTTGGGCCGCATCCGACTATTTCGACTAATGATGTTCGTAGAGCAGGCCTTTGTTTAAAAAATTCTTTCAGCACTGGCCCTGATGGAATCCCTTCCGCGGTTATTAAGAACTGTATTGGAGTGCTGGCTGCACCTTTGGCATCCATCTTCAACCTCTCTTTGGATTCTGGGATCTTTCCCGAGTGCTGGAAGGATTCTTTTGTTTTCACTGTCTTCAAAAAAGGCAATAAGCAGTCGGTGTCCAACTACCGTGGTATCGCTGCTTTATGTGCAGTCTCAAAACTTTTTGAACTATTGGTTCTAGATTATTTAAAACACACATGCTCACACATGCACACACACATCGCGACGGAACAACACGGTTTTATGTCGAAGAGGTCGATCGCTACAAATCTCGTTCAATACGCATCATCAATCATACACGAGATGGAAAGAGATCATCAAGTGGATGCTATCTACACCGATCTTTCTG